TCATAAAGGCCAGCCGCGAGGAGGCGATGTCCGCGTGTGCCGGACGTCGTCGCCTAAATGGAGATTGTACGCGAAGGTGATGCCCGCGCCGTTGCGGGCAGGCGCTAGGAGGGGTCCGGATGTCTTAATAACAGCAGTGCCCGGATCCTTCCTATTACAGGCGCAGAGTGGCACACCGTGTGGTTTTAGTCGGTCCGATTCCGACACACCACCCTGCTGCAAACCCCGGTGGAGTGACGGCCCGAGGGGGTTTCCACACGTAAAAAGAAAGAAAAGGCCCTAGTGTGAGTTTATTTCACATCAACTCGCTCTCGACGGCGAACGCGTTTGGCGTTGCGGTTGGTGGAGAACAAAAGCTTTTACGTACCTTAGTTATTAACATTATATGGAAATCTTACTTCTAGATATTATTACTCTTTATTGATCAACAGTCTATAATAGTCCACTACTGGACATAGGCGATTGGCGATTGGCGTTGCGAATGGTGCAGATTTTAGTGCGGACCAATCACAACGCCGAACGCGGTCACCGTAACGATCGAGTTGATGTGAAATAATAATCGCACTTGGCCCTTTGTATGCTTTTTATGTTTGTCCATAACGCCTTTCTTTCTTGATTATGGTTGTAGACTTTCAACGTGGCCCGACCATTCTCGAGAACGGGGTCGGGCACATACCTGTAGTATGGAACCCTTCGATCAACAATAGCAACAATAGCAACAGTTGCTATTGTTGATCGAAGATAGAACCTCTAGATTTATAAGTTGGTATTTAAGGGCAAGCTGTTGGTGTACGATTCTGGCTACTTGGTTGTGCCTGTGCAAATATTCACCGTTAGCAGGTTGTTTTTATAGATGAATTCAGAAAATTGTTTGAGCACACGGGATTCTAGGACTTTGGAGAGGAAGGGGAGAATTCTAGGTAAGGGGATAACACAAGCTTTGCGCCAGTGTTGTGAAAATTCAGGAATCTAAGAAGTAGTTGATGATGTGGTGATTACTGGTAAGATGTGATCAAGGATTATTGTGATCTTGCGTCGACTGACTTGATCACAACCGACAGCGTTAGATTTGATAGAGAGCATTATCTTATTGATCTCACTCAACGCAACCGGAGAAAATTGGAACGGATTTATGTTAGGGCTATTAAGACTCGCCAGGTAGTCAACAGTTACGATACTTGGTCTGGGGATCCAAATGAACAGAGGACGAGAAATTACGGTTTATTTCATCCAAACCAAAAACCCCTCGAAAAGGCCCGATCGCTGCCTACCAATACCTAGATTGCCGAGAAACTTCCAGATATTGGCGGGGGATGAACGGAAGATGTTATCAAAAATGTGTACCTGAAGGTGGTGCCCGCGCCGTTGCGGGGAGGCTCTAGAAAACCGCTGGTAAACTATTTTGTACTTGCTTTTTACAGAGTATTAAGTGAAGCTATCGGGGCCAAACGCCTCCTCTTCTGTTTCTGAAGGACAGAACTAACTGGGGGGCAACCCACTTATGGTGCCTGAGTTGAAGGCGTGGCAGGACGGTGGTAGTTACTTACGGTAGCAATTATCGAGTGACCCGTTAGCTTGTTTGCCTTCCTATGCCATTAAATGATATATGTAGTGGTGTGAGTAGGGTCCCTAGTAGCCAGTAGGTTAGAGTTTGAAATACGGGGCTATCCATCAGGTAGCCTCAAACTTTACCGTAACCTTGAGGTAACAACAAAATGCCACTTTATGTGTACAGTTATTTTTATTTCAGTAGATAAGATAAAAGCCTTCGTTAAAATTTTTATCATAAAGAGGTGTATTTGTCATAAGTACTGCTAATTGTTATTCAACTAGCCAATTATAGGGCAACGCCCTATCTGCCGAAAATGACGATTAAAGAGATCCGTGAGTCGTGATGGCTAGAATGACTTTATGAGTAAGTACTATCTTGATACTTTGTCTTTAATTGTGGAGATGATAAAGCTTCTTTCAAATATTTATGTACCTACATCGATACATATACATATGAAGAAAGCTTGTCTGCAAAGACTTGACAAGAACAAGCTTGTTTATGAACTAATTACTCAAGTAATTCTAAATGCCATAGCTAGTAGGTATCGGATACCAAAACAGTTTTGATAAGTAGATACAAATGTTCTCATAATAATATCCTAGTACGTTTAAAGCAGAACTTAAACAATACTGAACGATTCACACGAGCTAACGCTACAACATACAGAAATATACTAGTGATTCACGTTTATAATATGAGATGGGTATCGACACTCATTTGTAAGTGACGTCAGGAATATCGTGCCAGCAGCAATTTTTCATAAACAATTTAAATAACGAGCTCGCTGATTATCTTGTTTTTAATGTCGTCTTTACTTTTAATACATTATAATACACAAAAACCTAATACATATAAGAATATTAAAACACACTAGTTTAACTAAGTGAAGGACTAAATCTGTATATTATTTTAATATTAATGTTTTGATATTAATATGTGACGTATAAAATTGTTATGCATCTTCTTTTAATGAAAACTAAAATTATGTTATTATCTTAATTTTTTGTTAAGATAAAAAACTGTCCAAAACTGGGTTAAACTTGATATATCTAAATAAGCATAAAGCCCGTTTGATGAAGAAAATAAATAGTTTAAGATAGTAGGTAAACATGTTACAAAAAGTTAAACCGTCTTCAAAAAACACTAATAAAGTGTTATAAAAGTGAAATATCATCGATACGAAACTACATTACAAAGAACACAATACGACTCTTTTTATATGTTAAGAAAACATATATAAAAGCATTAGGTGTCCTATGGTCTGTTTGAAGTCGGTGCTAGTCAGTCGTTATGTCGTGCAATCATCTAAGTTGAAAATTGAGGGGTTTACTAGCAGCTACCGAATAAGAGCTATTGAAGAGTTTCCCTGTCAAATTGTTGGCTCCATCCATCCAGATTATTTGATATAATCTTCAAGAAGTCAAATTCTTATCGTAATATATGTTTTTTATATCTAAACATTTATTAACTTCGCTTGAAACTATGTACCGTATGTACTTTTACAAAGATTCATTTAGATACAATTAGATGTAGATTAAAATTTACTACTTAAGATTTGATTCGGTACATAGTTTTAAACAAAGTTAATAAAAGCTTGTTAACAAGCCCGCATTATTCACACTGCGATCAGCTGGAAAAGGGAGGTTATCTCAAACGGTCTAAAATGGCAACAGGTATCATGCCCTAAATCTTTTAGGCAGGGTCCGACCAGTCCATAGCCTTGTCGAGATCCTTGGGCAATTCAATCCTCGGGGCCCCTTTTTTCAAGTTTTAGCTTTTTGTAAGTCGATGAAAGGGTTGTGAGTAATAAGCATCAACAACGTCACCTGACTGATGCGTAACTCATTAGGAACTAAGAGCAAAATCGGCGCCCCTTACTGATGGGGTGCCCAGGTTGCCTACTCTGTCTAATGGTTAATCCAGACCTGATTTTAGGTGATTTTTAATTATTAGAATTTAATACATTGAATGTGACCTTTGAAAGTCTGTTGTGACACATATTCGCCATTCAATCTTCTATTTCCATAGGTATATTATAAATGTGAAATTATTATTTTTTTGTAACGTTTTCACGCCTAAACCACTGTACTGATTTTGAAAATTCCTTTACTAATGTAAAGCTATATAATCAGCGAGTAACACAGGCTACTTTTTACCGTGCTAACCGACATACACGCGGGCGGAGCCGCAGGCAAAAGCTAGTATGTATATAAAAATGTTAAGTTGGTAAGTTTCTGTACGCTTAAAAAACTCAACCAGTTCTGCGCCGATTGAGCTCAAATTTGGACATGACAAACCGTTTCAAAGATAGTTTTATCCATTTTTCGCGTTTTCAGTCACGAAGCGTGGCAGGGTACAGCTATTTATTTATAAAATGGTAACAGTGTAAGCTTTGAGTATCTACCTATTTAATCATATAGTAGTCCGTGTGGTGACGGATTAAGGATACGGAGTGTCACTACCCCTATTCATTCGTGGGCGTCGTAAGAGCCGAGTAAGGGAGCAAATTCTGCAGGACAAAAACACTGGAAAGACAAGAAAAATTTGAAACAAACGACTTGTCTACCAACCCGCTAGCGTGGCTAGCGTGGCATAGTAGGCCAAAATTTCCTTTTCAAGGAGAGGCCTATGTCCACTGGACTATTAAAGGCTGTTGATGATGGATCTGATAGTATAAAACACAATTTACTATGCAGTAAACGCTATATTTACTTTCCTCCTTTCATGAAATTCTTTAAGTGGTTAAAATAGGAGAAGGGTACAAAAAAAAAGGTGTTCTGATATAATGATGTACAAAATTGTACAAATGAAAAGTAATCTAAAAGATATGTATTAAGTTACAATATATACCTGCCTTGTCAAGAATTTATACGTATTTAAACAAAGTGCGATATGCCAGCGACGTAGCGCTCCGCTGATGCGTCATCACCATGAAGCTGCCGTTGCAAGATTGATAACGGAGAATGATTTCTTTTTTTGACACAGACCAATTCTAGCGTGTGAATCTCAGAACGAAACTAGTATACGCAATAATAATATAAATAATAGTATAATATAATAATATTGTAGTACGATTTCGTTCATAAACATCTTGGACTATATCATCTACAGTGAATGCTGATTAGTCCAGAAGTCATGTCAATGTACCATCTCAAGGACTGATTTTGTTAACTGATTACTTTGCGATCCTGTATTTGATAACAGTTTAGCTATCTGTTTTACAGCGCCCAAACTATAACCGATATCACCAATTTATGTAATGAACCAAAACTGTGACAAGAATATTGATACTGCGCGTTACTCCTGTGGGTTAACCTACGTATTCATTTTCTAAAATAATTTCACTCAAGATTTTGAATAAAAGAAATTCAATAAATTTCCCAATTCATATAATCAAAATTTTTATAACATGATAATTAAGACGAATAAAATACAACAAGTAATTCATCTACACAATAACAGATTCTACCATAGTTTTCTTAATTAGTTCACCAAAATTTTCCGTAGTCTCTGCATTATTGCTTTCTGTTACGGTCCCTGCGGAATGAGGTTGTAAGTCTGAAGAATCTTGAGTTGTCTGGTCAGAATGATCCAAGTTAAGTAACGTGTTGTGACTGAACCAATTTTCATCATTATCTACAGTTTGCATCTTATTATTAGGTTGATATGGCAATGTCATTAAAGTAGTATAATGAGTATTAGTTTTGTGTTCATTATTTACACACTCTGAATTGTTTTTGTACATGTCATAGTGGTTCTGTTGTGCACTATGATACTGCAGGGCATTATGATCGTGTATGTTGGCATTAGGTTTATTAAAATAGTCTGGTATATACATATGGCCGTAGTGACTAAACATAGACATCTGGGAATTGTGTGCAAACTCTTCAAAACTGGTTGCGGAAAAGGTTTGTAAGCCTTTAAAGTGATGATTTTCAGCTTGCTGATCATAAGCATAGTTTAAATCACATTGAAACCTTTGCATGTTATTAGTAATAGCATCAAAACCCATGGTATTCGCCGCAGTGTAGGGCGGGCCTTTCCCTTGTAGTATGTTCGATGTGTAAGCGCCACTGTGATTGTGATGGTTATTTGTATTTTCATAATGCATGGTGTTACCACTATTATTATGGTTGGAGGAGTCAGTTCTATAACCATATGAGATATTATCTGGCATGTTACTTTGCATTGAAGAATTATTCATATCACAATGAACATTACTAAAACTGCCTGTGTTGACACAAGATTCGACTTCCACTCTGGGAGTCAGGCTTACATCACGCAACATTCCATCTTCGTGACTAAGACAGCGTTCTCTCTCGTATGACGAGTTAGAAGAACACGATGCAGAATTACTATTATGGACCTCTAGCCACTGTCTCCTAAGAGCTTCTTGGTGTTCTTCGTTTTTCTTTTCAATGCCTATTCTCATAAGAGTCTGTATGAAATGTGTCCTTACTCTAACAGGATTAAATTCTATCCGACCTGTAGTGTTGGCGCATCCATCTCTAGTACAACCACAAGGAAAATTTAATCTGTCTACTTGGCATTTTATGCCAGCCAAACTGCATGAACAAGTTTCCGGGTTGCAGGTTCCTTTGCAAGCGCAACCACAAAATTCCCGAGAGGTTCTTATATCTCTACATTCATCTTTTTCATAACCTTCTATTTTCCTTACACCTGCAGCTCGTAATAGCGCTCGCCTTTGTCTGGTTGGAACGGGTTGCAGAAAAAAGTAATTATCTAAATCTAATTCTGATTCAGAAATATCACTCGCCTCTTCTTCTGTGTCACTGTCCTCACTAGAGGATAACGATGCGCCTTGCAAAGTATGACGCTCACTTTTTAGTTGCTGCAATATTTGTCTATGTAGTCTCCTCTGTTCTAAAGCATGTTCTGCTAAAGTGAAATTCTGTATATGAGAATGCTCCCATTCCATTCCTAGTGTTGAACCACCTTGTGATGGAACGCATGAAAAACCTTGAGCTCTAGGAAAGTAAAACACAGTCACATTATCAAACCGAATGCTCTCCTTTCGTTTTTTAGGCGGTGGTTCAGTTGTGTTATCTTCACTACATTTCCTCTTAAGATTGCTTTTAGTTGGTACCTTCACTTGTGCTAAAGGAATATGGCCTTTATCCACACTGTTTGAATTACTACTGCTACTGCTAGAATTAGAGTTGTGCTCTGGTATTCCTGATGAGTTGGAATTTTTTAAACTAGTTGTGCATGGTAGTGTTATGTTAAAGCTAGGCATTTTTAAGTCATCAATAGATTCTGACCCAAGACCTGAATCGCTTCCTTCTGCCCTTTCTTGAGCTTCCTCTTCCCTATCGTTAAGATTACTATCCGGCGGCAGACTGCCAAGAGCAGAATCTTCACTATCAGCTGAAGCACTGTCCGTTTTGATATCGTCAATGTCACTAAGCGTATCATTGTCATCTATTTTTACCGCATAGTCTATTTTACTATCACTACTCTCATAAAACTGAGAGTTATTACTAATGATTGCATTACTTTGTTCATTATTAGAACTAAGGTCGTCACTGTGAGCATCACTGTCACTGCTTTTCTCATCTTTTATCAAATGTAAACCATCATCTTCATCTCGTTCTGCTGTTTTCTTATCACGTTCATTCAAATCTGCATCAGGTTGTTCTTTAGGCTCTAAGCCGGATTCCGTCATTGCGTCCCCCATGACTCAGAATCTGTAAAGATAAAAAAAAGCTTTGACTACTATTGCTAAGAAAAATAAATAGTACAAAAACGTGAACTTTAGGATGACTTGTCATAATGTGATAAGAACATAGAAGATGACGAATAACACCACAAAGTCCAAAGCAGATATCATACCTACGGCTATCATAAGTTTATATTAAGAATGTAAATATACTAATATAGGAGCCGTTGCTATAGAGGAGTGCAAGCTACCTGCACCCGTCTGAACCGAGCAGTATTATAAATCAAACAAAATGATAATTCAAAACCGGTACCTATTTCAAAAGGCTCTGGCCTCGACTAGCTCCACCGGGTGGCTCGTGCGCGCCAGCGAATCCCCCGCCCCATGATGATCACATATACATAAACACAATCACCGGTTCCTCACTCTCATCATCGACAAATATCAGCAAAACTTGATCATATAATTTAGCACAATTCGGTCATCGTCTACAAGTTTGCCACACAAAACTCACTCTTAATCGTACACTGTTATAAGGTCTTCTTTATATCACTATTCACAGCGAGCCGTTGTGTTTTAACCCTATTTATTTATTTTCCGCCTTATTTTGACAGCGACGTTCTTTACTTTTTAGACTGCGTTGTAATTGTGGTTTTCGGCCAGAAATAACCTGATTAGGTTTCTTTGATACAGTATCTCACGTGAATTTATTAGTCCACAAAATTTATAGTAAAATAATCACTACACTAGCTTAGAGAGAGGCCACTTTTACTACAACGATCTCACAGCAGTTCCCACCTCGCATAATCGCGTTGGACGACTCGAGCGACGCAGGCAAGTTTTAGCCCATACTAATAAAAGAGACGGTTGAACGCGTGCAGACGTGCTACACTGAGCGATCTTCTGAATTTAGCAGCGTATGGTCTGCGTTGTTCGACGTGACGTTGCCTCTCCCCGCATGCCGCGCCCCGGCCTTGCGGCCCTCCGCACCGCGTCCACCCGTCGAGTTCGCGCAAGCGCGTTCCGTTTCTTATGAATGCGATGATACCAACGTGGTGATTATAAATTGCCTGTTCATTTGTTGTTATTATTTATTTATAACTAAGACTAAAACATTTTACATTTTTTTTAGATTACCGCATAAAATGAAACGTTATTTTAGTGTGTAAACTTTTTAAGAGGCTATTTCTCTATTTTTTTAATACATTGAAGCTGTGTATTTTGTGAAGTTAAATATCTTAAAGTAGAAAACTGTTTTAGAGCCAATAGGTCTTAAATAAAATCCTTCTCGGTTAAATTTGCTGGACAGAAGCTATGTATATGTAAGTATTATCATAATAACATCTGAAAATAAAACTAGTTTTATACGAATAGGTAAAAATTTTTCATACATGTCAGAGACATTAGCGTTGCACTATTTTGATAAAGTCAGAAAATTATATGTATGAAACGTGTAATTATCTGAATATCATCATCATCATCATCAATTAATCTGACTATAACTGTTATAAATTATACAATTTTTCATTATTAAAAATATATGTTTAAAACATTACATTACATTACGATCAACTTTATTCTAAAAGGTATTTTCATGATTTTGATTGTGACAAAATATGGAACAGACCCAAATGAAACAAAATTTCGATTATCTGAAACATACGTTTAGCGCTGGTAACACTAAGATTCAGGTAAAGAACAATATTTTATGGGTCTGATATGAATATTGTAGATTAAAACTTGCCTTCACGGTGGGAGTAAACAGGATGGCAACACACGTTCACAACCTTTAGCTCTCGGGCCATCAGACAGGTCTCTACCGACATAAATGTATGACTACGTCATGTCATCTCGTCTATGCACGTATGCTTCAAAGCTGGAAACAGTTCATTGAATATACACAAGGCATTTAGAAAGACAAGGCCTTCGCAATAGCCTCCAAGCTCTACATTCTCAATGTTTGTGATTTTTATAGTATGTTCGTTTATTAATTTAATGTATAATGCTACACACATTGCCCATTTGTTTACTCGAACAGGTGTACGTAGGTGGGCATGACGTCTGATATGGTCGCGTCACTGCAGTCGAGTACAGCTTGCGCTACGAGCATTCTTCAAATAAATTGGCACTCGACGGCAGTCGACATAATACAGGGCGAGGTGGCAGACTATACATACCAACCGGCACGTATACGATAATCAATAGATATTTTCAGGAGGCTTTCGTGGAGACGAAAAGGGATGGAAGCATGTTGCTCTCTCGCTCAGTTCTGTAATTTACATAGCATACGGCAAAAAGTACGATGTTGAATTAAAAGTTTGTTTTACAACACTGCCTATTGTGATTTAATAATAGAAACATTTCCGAAATATTTATCTACCGCTACTAACGCTCTAGCGTTATGCTATTATTGTTATTGTAGAGCTCTCAGTTTAAAAGTAGTTTGCAATTCAAAATGATCTCATGTAGATGTACATTTTCACGTGTTTTAATTAGCTTCAGTTTTAATATTGTCTTTCTTACAATAAAATCGTTATTTTTTTTTGTTTTTGACATCGATGTTATATTAATATATGTCTCCTAGTAATATTTATAAAGCAATCTATGCATGTCATCCACTTCGCTCTACATTTCATTTGAATTGCATTTAATTACATTAATAATCACATATCCCACACACGTCCGTCTGATCCCAAACTAGGCAGAGCCCGTGCTATTGTAACCAGACTGCTGATATAGATATAGATTTGAATACATACATATTATAGATAAATTACACCCAGACACAGAACAAATGACCGTGCTCATTACACAATATTTGTCCTGGGTGGGAATCGAACCACTAGACCAACAGGCCCGTCAACATTATAGGTAAAATGAAAATAAAAAATAAAAAATTCTATACAAATTAACAATTCCATAAAGTAATCAAGTAGGAATTAACAAGTTATAAAACTTATGTTAGATGAGTACCCACTCATCTAAGTTAAGTTTTATAACTTGTTAATTCTTACAACTCTTTTTGATCGTCTCTATACCTCAAGACTGTTGATAAATAAATATTTTTCAATATATTGCCATTTTACACACACTGTTGATCTGATTAGGAACTACATAAATAATTACATACGTCAAAGGAAAAGCAAAGGCATGGTTAACACCAAAACTATGCCACTCGCGTACTCCCTATTCAAAGGCTGGCAACGCGCTTGTGACTCCTGAGTTGTAGGCGTTCAGGGGCGGCGGTAGTCGCTTTCCATCAGGTGACCCGCCTGCTCGTTTGCCCCCTATTCCATAAAAAAAGATAGTTTGAGTCCCGGGAAAGGACATAGGATAGTTTTTATCTCAGACGTCATCCTTTAAGTTGGTGAAAAGAGGGGTGGAAGTTTGTATGGGGAATCAATAACCGCTGAACCGATTGAGATGAAATTTGGTGTATGTGGAGATAGTTTGATTCTTGAAAAAGGATATAGGCTACTTTACTACTACACGCGGGCGGAGCCGCGAGCAAAAGCTATTTAAAATAATTTTAATTCAGAGAGGCGGACCCATCCAACAACAATCAAACGAGTTTCAACTTTCGTCATTGTGTTTTTTGTAACCAGTTTTTATCTCAAATCTAACGGTATACTATACCGTCGCCGGTCCTTGTATAGGACATATCTATTAGTACCTAGTACGTAGGTAGGTCACCCACCGCGCATCGTATCATTTCGTACCTAGGTACTGACAAGACTCGCTATAGGGCGTATTAATTGTTCATATGGCAACGCTGTCGAAAATCTTCCTACAAATACAACAGACAAGGTAGCCATACGTATTTGTGTGTTCATTAAAGGCGAGGGTTATCATGAATAAATAATTTGTTATACATGTGTTTTGTAGATCTGGCTAGGTGTTTAGGCTATGGGGTGGTGTGGAGGCGTTGGGTGGCAGACAGGGGTAGATTAAATTTCGTAGCACACAGCTAGCTGCCTCGAGCTCGCTTGTATTCATCACCGTTAGGGCTGCAATTGCTTCTCGGTATATTTCAACCGCTTTCCCGCACATATTTTGTAACCTAGCGTTCTGTGTCCCTTTACGATTTTCATACTTGCTTACTCAGATTACATTTGTAATCTGAGCTTACTCATTTATCTATTTAATACACACGGGATTATTTTCGTGAAATAATAACAATATATTTTCTGAATAAATTAGCCGTTTCCTAACGGTGCCCTTGAGGTTCTATTAATAATACGTTGTACATACATACGACGAATAATTATAGAATCTTAAACCGACTTTTGTATTTGTAACACGTCTGTTTTATTATTAATTAAGTTTGCAGGGGTAGATATTACAATATACTGTAATATTTGCCCTCATGACTATCGCTAAATAAGGGAATACTCAATCTCTCTTTACGTCTATTGTCGGCTTAAATGCTAACTTACACCTATTGCGAAATGGTAGCATAATAGCTAGTGGGGATCGAACCCCACGAATACAAGAGTAATGTGAACCGACTTCTATTAGCAGATACAGCTTCTATTAGCAGATACAGTAAGAAACTATATAAAGCTAACATTTCAAACGGTCTATATAACAGTCTATATAAATACATTTCTGTTGGGTTTACATTTAATCTGCATCATACTTCTTGGTTTTGGTGGATGTATTTTGCTACAATAATAAATTTCATCAGTCAAAAACGAACAGGAACCATTTGTTTATAGTAGAGGGGGCAAAGAAGTAGACGGGTAACATGATGGTAAGTGACTTACTGACTTTTCAGTTCTCCCCCCAAGAGTCAGGGAGAGAGGGTTAGGCTCTGGTGACATCACTCACTTGGTGAAAAGTAATATTTTTCAGTGAGGCCGTGGTATCAGTGCGGTCGATCCTGACCCATTTGTGCCGAAGCCTACGAGAAAGAGGTACTTATGCTTCCAACTACAATAAGTGTTGTGGGTTCGATCCCCAAATTTTTGTGATCTTTGTTTATGTGAGACAAGATTAACTAGTCTCAAGCGGTGATT